ATTATCTATGAAACAAAATAAATATAACTTATAATTTTTACGTAAAAGTAATTGATATGAATAATAATTATTTTAAATAATTAATATTAATGTATAATGTATAATTAATAATGTATAATAACGAGAGTTATAATCGGAAAAAAATTGACAATAAGCTTTCAAAAAGCTATTTCAGGTAGCGTTTCAATAAGTTAATCTATGCTATGTAACCATATACTCGAAAAATAAGGTAACTTATGTTTGTTAAACAATACCTTAACAGTTAACCATTGATCAAGTTAGGGTCCGTTTACGAAACACTTATCCGGGTAAGCGCTTACCAAGTCATGTTACCTCACCGGATCAATATAGTAAGGACTAAGAATCTTACCCGGTAAGTGAGGGTGACGACTCTTACCACGGTAAGCACTTACCGGGTAAATTGTTGCATATGATGTCGTTTTAGTGGTCTAAAATCTTACCCGTTAAGTAAATAATAGTTTATAATGTTAAATTTTACCGATAAATACTTATTTGGTAAGTGTTTGATAAACGACCCCTTAACTCTACAATTACGAGTGACAAGAACTAAAACCGTTATTTGGTGATTCCATGTATTTTCTCACCTTTTTTTTTAATATAAAACAACAATTTCATGAATGATTTAAATCGGTATTATTGGAAATTTTAGGCTAAGGATTTATTCCTGTTCTAAGTTTGGCATAAAATTGAGGCAGGTATTCAAGAATGGTCACGAAAACAAGTCCATAGTCACAACTATCGTGTTCCCGAACCATATCGAGATCAGGTTTTATGCCCAATTTTAAGTTTCTCGTGTTTTTTAGCGGAAAAAAATACATGCACTGAGATTTTTGACATAATGACAGGTTGTGGTAGTGATCGGGAACGGGCCTAGCGCACTTGATATATCTCGAGACATCGCGACCGTTGCCAAAGAGGTTCATCTATCTTCGAGATCTTCGGACGTCAAGGCCTCGAGGTTGGATGGATACGAAAATATGTGGCAACATTTAGAGGTATACGTATTTGAGTCGATTCTTAACGTAAATGGATACGAATCTATTTGAAACGTAATCATTTTCAAATACATGACATTGTTAACAGATCAATCGCGTTTTTGGTGACGGACGAGTCGTGTTCCAAGAGGGACTGTCTATAGAAGCGGATATTATCTTACATTGCACCGGGTATGAATTTACGACACTCTATTCCTGCGAAACTGTTATTTTATTATTTAAAATTTCTGGGAAAATCCGTTAATTATCACCAGGGTTGGACTGGTATCTGCTGGTCATGCTTAAAGCATATGAGACATAAAGTCGAATGCATATCATGGCGTACATGATACATCCAATTTCAGAAGCCTAGGGAATTGTAGTCTTTCGTTCTCAGTCGTCAAATGTTATTTTAATTTGTTTCGGCATTTGCTAGGTACAAGTACCATTTCCCGTTTCTAAGAAAAACCGGTGTCGTACATGTGGACGACAATCGCGTTGGACCGCTTTACAAACACGTGTTCCCTCCACAACTCGCACCTAGACTCGCTTTCGTCGGATTAAGCTACAGTATGTCGTTTATTAGATCGTTAATTTGTTCGTTTCCAGGATATTCTATAATCGATATATATATATATATCTTATGTTATTTGTCGTTCTTACAATCATTATGCAGATCAAGGCGTCTTGTTTCGAATGTTTGAGTTGCAAGCGAAGTGGATAGCGCTTGCATTATCCGGCAAGATATCGTTGCCGTCACAAGACGAGATGTTGATCGATGTTCACAAACATTATCAAGAAATGGAGGAAAACGAGATCCCAAAGCGCTACACTCATTCGCTAAATTTTCAGGTTTTCGTATCAATCCTTGCTATTATTGCATGATTTCTAGAGATGCACAAGGCCCGAGTCTTTTAAACCTGTTTTTACTTTTTAGTAAGAAAAAAAAAGCGGGGCTCTATTAGTCCCTTTTGGGCTGGACCGAGCTTTGACCAGGCCTTAGAAAAAAAAAATACTTAGCCTAATTGGGGTATTTTGGTCTAGCATGGGCTCGGGCTTATTAGGACTGGACTTTTTGGGACATTGTTTTTATGCATAAAAGAAACTACGTTTTTCTAACTTCAAAATCGATTGTTTTGATGACAGTTTGAATACGTCGAATGGTTAGGTGCTCATGTAGGATGTGAAGTTGATGATCAGCTTAAACATATCAGCAAGAACGCTCGTGAACACTTTATTTCTCATCTTAATAGTTCCCGTGATACGTTTGTTATATAATCTTCTTAATTTTGGTTTATAGCGTGATTAGTGATAGATAATCGAGACATATCGAAGGCAAAATAAGAACACAAATCACTTGTATCCGTAGTATATGTATGTATTGAATCATATAATTTGAATGGCTACTCGCAATAATAAAGTTGGATTTTTGGACGGTGACGAATCCAGGAAGTCAGAGGTAGAGCTAGGGATTAGGGGTGTTAAAAAAACCCAAAGTCGAATAACCATCTGAATCGAATGAGGTTCAGGTTAAACGGATTCGTGTTATTTGTAAATGCTATAAAAAACGCCTTTAACGGCAACAAAGAACACATAATCGGTCAAAAGTAACAAGCATTGCAAAAGGAAAATTGTCATAATCGAATATCGAAAATTCGAAACCATCCGAGAATTCGAAGTCATCTGTATGTTTTTACTTGTACTGTTTTTGGACCTCTCAACTTGGCAATGGTACAAACCCTAAACATAATCTACTACTTTTTTTTAGCTTATGTTACAATACCCATTTGCAGCAACTTATCATCTTTTTCTTTGAACTTTCACCATCTTTATTTCTTCATTTAAAATAAGATTCCAACGTATATCAAAAGGAAATCAGAAATATGCAAGTATAACCCATGTGGTACTCTAAACTCTAACATGTCCCCTTAGACTGTCCCATCGAGAGGGGCTAGATGGGTACAAATTGACCCACTGTGTCAAATTCCAGTGGTAGATATGTGAAACCCTAAAGTTAGGGGGTGTTTGGTTCACATAATGAAATTTGATGAAATTGGAATCCATCGAAGCAATTTGACTTTGAAGAAATTTGATGGAATTTGACCATGCGTTTAGTTGGTAGGAATTGGAACGAAATATCTCAAAAGAATTGGAATAATTGCCTTTGTTTGGACTATCGCGCCCATCGCCCCGTCTACACCCTACCGACCACCATGTGTCCATGTCACTATTGTCGTCGTCATATCTATAATGGTGTGGTGATGGGGGTTAGGTTAGGGACGTGACAGTAATGATAGTAGCATGATCATAGTAGGGATGTGCGGTGAGTGACCGGGGGTGGGTGGGTGTGATTACAACAGTAGTGACATGGTGGTTAATGGTGGGGTAGGGTGGAGGATGGGGGTGGGTGGCAGCAAGTAGTGGTGTGGTTGTGGTGGGGGGTTAGGGTGGGGCATGACGAACAATAGTAGCATGGTCGTGGGGTGGTGATGAAATTCAATTCCTTCCATTATGCCAAGAAATGATGAATTCACTAATTTGTGAAATTCAATTAAATTTGAAGGATTCCATCTATTTCAAGAAATAAACTAAACAAAGAAATTGTAATTTGGTCAAAGAAATTTGTCATTTTAATTCCATCAAATTTCTTTTGAATTCCATGAACCAAACGACACCTTACTCTCCAAGAGCCATTGAGGAGAAAAGGGAGGTTTCGACATACATATTGAGTATAAATGGTCTCGGCTTTTAGCGGTGATCGTAGCTGTCGAGATCTCGAGAACCGCCTTTATCATGTTTGCGATTTTAGTCATCGATAAAGTAGGGCGAAAGTCATTATTATACGTGAGCACCATCGGAATGACATTTTGTTTGTTCGGTTTGGCAATCGTTTTATCGTTGTTTAACAAAGAGTCCATCGGGGTGGCATTGGTGCTTCAGTTGGTTTGTGCAAATGTGGCTTTCTTTTCGGTTGGCACCAGACCGATTTGTATGGTTTTGACATCGGAGATATTTTCGCTGAGGCTACGAGCACAAGGGTTCGCATTAGGAGCGGTCGGGAATCGGTGTGTAGCGGAATCGTTGCAATGTCGTTTCTTCCCATTTCTCGTGCCATTTCGATGGCCGGGACGTTCTTCAACTTTACGATGGTTTCGGCGTTGTCAGTTGTTTTCCTATACAAACTTGTTCCGAAGACGAAAGGGAAATCATTGGAGCAGATCGAGTTGTTGTTCCAGAAGGAACATGATTGGCGAGAAGACGAAGTTGAGCTATCAAAAACTCAACAATCGGAGTCGGGTTCCGCTATATGAAAATGCAATGCTCGTCTCCATCAGTGCAATATTAGAAGTCAGATATGCATATATCTTACTCCCTAGTCCCCACATCTAAATGGGTGTATTGGACTCGTCTGATTTGATTTTAACAGTGTAATATTAGAAAGAGCATATGTTCATTACTGAATTCTTGGTGATAAAGTCTATCTTTTTGGCATCAAATATACTTCGGTTTGATTCTTATTTTGTGTAACTTGTTTTCAAAGCCTTCATTTTGGTGCATCACATATGATATCTCAAATAATTAGACCAAAGTACATCACACAAAATCGAAACAGAATACATTGTTTTTTAGATGTAAACCATATACTTTGAGATGCACATCTAAGGTACCAAAAGGAAGGTTTTGGAAGTATGTTACACAAAATAGGAATCAGATAAAAACACATCATATTTCAAATGTAAGCTTAAGTACCTAAATGTTTGAGATATCACATCTAAGGTACCAAAACGAAGCTTTTGAAAATACGTTTACGTAAAATAGGAATCAGACCAAAGTACGTTGCATTTTCAGATGTAAACTAGGTACCTAAATGTTTGAGATATCAAATCGAGGTACCAAAACTAATGTTTTGGAAGTACGTATACAAAATAGAAATCAAAACAAAGTACATTGCATTTATATTAGGTACCTAAATGTTTAAGATGTCACGTCAAAAGTACCAAAACGAAGCTTTTAAAAGTACGTTACACAAAATAAGAATAAGACTAAAGTACGTTGTATTTTTCATGCAATTTTCCATTATTTGGACACCAAATAAAAGCAATGAACTCATTATTATCGTTAGACACAAGTTTACAACAGAAGCTCGTAAAAGTTTACCATTCCGTCCTCACGGATAGATAAAAACATTTTCAAAGTTCATGAGCAGGGAATCTAGCGTTAGCAGGATCTGTCATATCGAAAAAGAGATGCACCATACCTCCAATTCCTTCAAACAAAGAGTAGGGAGTGTCACCTCCATGCATATGGCCTTCGGATATGAGCTTGTGGCCCCGATCAAGTAAAAAACAAGCAAACGCCTTGGCCTTGTGTAAGAACTCAACGTTACCCGTCATTCGATAAAATGAGAGGAAGACGTACGCATTCCCGCTGATACCATGACAGATACCAACCTTCTTCAATAAGCCACGCTTCCACACAACTTCAGCTGCATCCTCTTCCGCTTCTAGAAATTCTTTATCCTCAAACACGTGATCATCACAAAAGTGTCATTGGCCCACCGGCCATGGGTACCCAAGTTACTGGCAGAGCTCAGCCTCACCAAATGTGATGAGTGTGCGTAAGTATTTGTCTTATATAAATATTATATACTTAAAAAAAGAAACAAAAACCCGATCATCCATTACAATTTTGGTTGCAAGATTACCCAACAGGACAACTAGCAAATAAAAGCTAGGTTATCGGGCTCCTCCTCATAAGTCGTAGGTTTGAAGTCTTCTCAGGGCTAATGAGGATATCCCCCACTGTTATCTTCAGGGCCCTATGGGGATTAGTTAAGATGCGTGTAAGTTAGCCTAGATACCAACGGTTACTAAAAAAAAAGAGAACTTTCTTTGCATCTTAAAAACTGGCTGTTTCCATGACTCAAACTTGTGACCTTTTGTTGCACGATGCCCACCTCACTTATTGTAAAATACCAAACCGAAGAAACCTAGTCAGGCCCGTTTCTGACATTTTTTAGG